TCCGTCCGTCCGTCCGTCCGTCCGTCCGTCCGTCCGTCCGTCCGTCCGTCCGTCCATCCATCCATCCACTCAATTAATAAATTAATTAATCAAGTTTTTTTCAGCGACTTTCAGAATCAAAATGGCGGATCCAGAGAAACAAAATCCACCAGAACCGGCCCCAGCCCAGACCCAGTCAGCTGGCGGGATCACTCTTAACGTTAGCTACGTTAAGTCACCAAGAGGAATCATAAAGATTGTCGAAATCGTGAGTAACACAGCAAAACATATAACCTTTAGGTACTTCTACCAGTCAAGAATATCTTAACGGCAGGATTTCAAAGAGCATTTTCAAGAATCGATAAAGCTGCGTAACCATGCTACTGGTAGCCACTCTGAGACTGAGCGGGAAAAACAATTTTAACTGATGTATAGCCAGAGATATTCAAGATTTACAATTTAATTACCCACCATTTGATTATTTAATTACCTATATTAACTATATATACATATACATAAACATGTCACATATACATGTCTCTGATACAACAGAAGATAAGTAAGACCCAATAAGTACCTTTTTAAGTTTTTGTATCTAATTTGATATCTTGCATCTGTAAAACTATACCGCGTCCGCTCGCGAGCCAACCAGAACGTACGATTTTTAAAATAAAAGTACTTATGTCATAACTTGATTGCTTCTTATTGTTGTCTTTTCCCAACCAACAGTTTCTTCTCATGATCGCCTTCTCCTGCCTGGCAGACATCTGTGTTAACTGTACAGGGCGATATAGTTTTTTTCTTTTCTCTACAATCTTCCCGTGGATCCTCTGCATCATTATCTTCGTCCTCTACCTCTTCTGCCTCGTGGAGAAAATCCCACAAATCAATTGGACTTTGACGGTAAGATTACATTTTACTTGTGGTCCCCTTTCTGTGCGAGAATAGCTTTTGTGCGCTGGCGGAGGGCCTGGTGTAAAACACTAATCAGTAGATACAATGTTCCGATTACACTTTACAGTTTAACCACTCGCAACACTCGTTATGAACATTTCAAGACGTCACCTATGATCAATAAGAGGACAGTCAATGGTACACTGTCAATCTATTAGCGATTTGTTAAATTTGCCATYGTTTCACATCCCTATAATACGTTACGGTTTTGGGGACAACCAGAGCAAAAACTGCACATATTATGCTGGGGGAAAAAACCTAATGAGGAATGGAAAAGTGGTGAATGGACCATTTTCTATTTCCAAAAATACCGCTGTGTTTCTTGATTACAGACTCATTTGCACAGGGTTAGCCTCGATTTTATGAAGAATATTCACGTGTTCTAGTCAAGGTCCGTCAAGTTTCAAAGTGTTTGTATTGTTGAAGTTGTGCATTCTTTACTTTACCGTTGGTATTTGTGAATATTTAGACACTGATTCGAGGCTAAGCCTGAGTAAATGAGTCTGTAACCAAGAAACACAGCGGTAGTTTAGAATTCGAAAAGGGACTAATACTAAAAGTATGGACATCTTTTCAGGTGATGATCAACGCAATCCTTTGGGCCCTAGTGATTCTCACCTCGAGCTCTCTTGTTGCTGATGACATTAGAAAAAGGAAAGAGTATTCAAGGGGCTATTACGTTGTTTTTATCCCTGACAACCTTTATGCCGCTGTGGTGAGTATCACTTTGAAATCTTTAATTACTGGGCTACCTGTGGTAGGCCAATCGTAAAGTGCATTTGCTTTTTTGGCAAACGTTACATTTCCTTAGATCCTAATAACATGTCCAATTCAACACATCCTCGTAGGAACCGGTCATTATTTATCGCCAGGGAGGGGGGAGGGGGGGGTCAAGCATTTTTGCTGCGACATTATATATATTAACTGATATCTGTCAATATACATGTATAGCTGATCCCCCGTTGTCTAAAGTACATGTGATTTCCCTCCCCCAAGCCATCATGAATGATGACAGGTCGATCTCTATTCCGTTTGTCTGTAAAATAGACCTGTTTAGCTTGGGTGCAATATTTTCCCATTTCAGACTATGTGTCATTCCCTAGAGTATCATTTCTTTGTTTAACGGTTGCGCATGAGAAGGCACATGAATATGGATATGACTCAAGCAAAGGATCTCATTCCCAAGAGAATAACTTGTAGTCTGAAATGGGAAAACATGGTCTATTTTTTGTGTGGTTAACTGATGTTACCTGAACTAACACTGACTGACCGCCACCTGTTAGCTCAGTTGGTAAGAGCGTCGGTCTGTTGTGCGGGAGGTCGTGGTTCAAGCCTCGGCCGGACAAACACTCATGGTCTTAAAATAACTGAGGAGAAGGTGCTGCCTTTGTAATTACATCTGCAAATGGTTAGACCTTCAAGTCTTCTTAAACCGTAGGCCCTGTCTTCAAACACTTCCTAACCTGCAGTAAAATGGGGGGCATAAAAGAACCCGTTGAATTATTCGTGTAAGAGTAGGGGATTGTCTCCCGGTTCAACAGCCTTATCCCAATTTGGAGGCATAATACTAACCTACTAACAATTCACACTCATGATTGTAAGCTGCACGGCTGCTAATAGCGCCTTAATATGCAGCCCGTAAAGTCCCTCCCCTGGTTATAAATGTGAAGCGCATTGAGATATTTGAAATGCGCTATATAAGAACCCTTTTTTATCGTTTTTACTTGCTTTAATTATTATTCTTTCGTTGTATATATAGTAAAACATAACAGCTTAAACCTGTTATATTGGCTTAATAGCCCTAATAAAGCCACTTAATTAAACCTAAGTCCTAAATAGTACGCCTAACCTAAGAGAGTTTATTCTAATTCTTGTTTTTCTATTTCAAAGGTGTTTGGCTTCCTCTCTGTCGTTGCCTTCGTCGTGGACGCCATTTTTCACTTTCAACACTACCGTTCATAAACTACATGCTAATATAGCTACTCACCAGAAAACTTGTGGTAGAAAACTTGTAGGTTAATCAAAATACATAGAAGCATACTAGAGAAAAAGAGGCAAAAATGTGTGAGTGACGCTTCGTAGAAGGGAATATCCGGATTCTGGATCACAAGAGGTACACTCCGGAGGATCTCAGATTCCTCCGAGCTCTTATGTTCCAAGTTTTATTTTTCAGGGTCTTGATTCCCTTACTTGGAGTACTAGTCAAGTGAAATAAGAGTTACTTTTATCTTAATTTAGTTGCAGTATTTTTGTATGTGGTCTTCTCTTTTTAGAGATAAATATTTGAAATATCGATATGCTAATGAGATGACGTAAATTCTAGAATGTGGTACATTTTGCAGTGTGATTGACATCAAGTGTTCTGAAGTGAAATAACCTAAAAGTGTACAAAGCCATATATTTCAGTTATAAGGATGATTTGCAAATGAAAACAAAACCAGCTGTTCTTTCCACAACAGCATTTTAGTATAACAAATTAGTCTTGAATTTACGTCATCTCATTTGCATATTGAAAATTCAAATGTTCATAACTCTGGAAAGAGAAGACCACATACAAAAATACAAAATGATTTTGAAAATAGAATTTTTTTCCTTTATATACACCTTACTATTTCTTGAGATAAGGGACCAGTCAGTTATTTAGGTCTGATGGGGAGGGGGGGGGGGGGGAGGAAGAAATGGGGGGGCTCTCAAACGATTGAAGGTGGGGTACCCGAAAAACATCAATGCTATTAGGTAGGGGTCTGGAAAGTTTTTTGGATCAAAAACATTCTCTCCTCCATCCCCCCCCGGCGAAAAAAAAAAGAGCATGTTACGTGACCATTGTCCGCCATATTAGATGACAACTAAGGTAGGCTCCCATATTTTGTATCAAACTCAACTCCAGTTCCAGAAAAGCGTCTGTGAATAGTTTTAGTTTTATAATTAGTTTTGTAATCTTTGTAGTATAGTTTTGTAAGTTTTGAATTTTAAACGAGTAAAATTAAGAATAGACGAATTAAACTCTTTACTAGCCTTGAATCAGTGTCTAAATATTCACAAATACCAAAGGTAAAGTAAGGAATGCTCAACTTTAACAATACAAACACTTTGAAATTCCACGGACCTTCACTGTAACACATCAACATTCTACACAAAATCCTGAGATAGAGAGATCTCGAAACATGTCCATGTACTATAGACCCCTTGCACTGAATTCCTAGAGGAATTGTTCTGGAGGACAAAACAATAGGCTGTCTTTTCTTGTGCAAAAAAAACTGTTTTGTCCCCCAGAACAATTCCTCTAGGAACTMAGTGCAAGGGGTCAATATGTCTTYTAAATTACATCACTTMCATTATAAAGTTGGAAGTTAAATTCCCGGTGGGAGGGGAGGGAGAGGGTTTGCTTTGAATAGCACAGTGCGCAGATGATGTCATAAAACCGACTGAAGACAAAGACGAAATTCAGACAAACAAACTTGTACTTTSCTTTCAGCAGACAATTTTTATAGCCGATTGCAGTTCGTATGGCTTACATAGTAAACGTACCTAGGGGATGAGGGATTGTAAAAACCCTGTTCGATTTTGAATGATTTGCCTGTGCAGATCAGGGAACTCCCACAACTTGCTACAAAATTGTCAATCAACGTTAAACTGAAGCAATAGCGCAGCGCAGCCGTGACGTCATAAAAACGAAGACAAAGGCGAAATTCGGACAAACAAACTTACAAGTTTACTT